ATATAAGTCAATGAAGTAAAAATAAAAACTTATCTACCCAAGCTCAAACTGAATTACCGTCTCTTGCATTCCTTGTTGAACTTGTTTTCTGAAATCAACTACTCAAATGCCAAGTGTAAAAGTACATGATATAGGAAATATAACAATTGAAACACATTATCATAAATATGCTAGCTAGATTAAGAAATAATACTAATGTTAATTAAAACACCAACTGAAACATTAATATCACAAAACATTAAAACTAAAAAAAGCTATGCATTAAGATATGGAATGTTTTATCTTTCCCTTACTATAAACTCTCCCAAAAATGCAGATGATACAATCCAGTCAATCTCCCACCCCATTTCATCACAAATAACTAAGAAAACTTTATCAAATATAATTGAACATCAAACCAATAATAGCATATTAGGGCCTATAATAGCATATTAAGCCACTAAGATGACCCATGCAACGAGCTTGAAGTCTATTAACCCAAGTCAGTTGACCATAGGCACCTAGTTATTAGAAACCTCTCAAGCCTAATTGTTTGAGCAAATAGGCTCTGAAAAAGAATATAAGATATTGAGCTTTTTCTCTCAAGGAAATATACTTGAGCTTAAGTCTACTAAAATAAGGTCAATTCATGTTCAAAGTCACCTTTACAACATGTGACTGCCATCCAAAATCTCGTACAAGCAGTCAACTCCCACTCAATATCATAATGTGTGTAGCGCATGTGGTACATGAAGAAACCTATACTAAGTATTCCATAAAAACCTAAACAAAGTACTGAGAATATGCTATAGCACATCAATTAAACTTATACTTGGTCACAACACACACTTTCAAGTTCATCATATATAATGATATAGTTAAAAAATTTACCTTTTTTTCTTTTTCAAAACATGAATGCACCACCAATCACACAAAATAAAAAATAAAAATTCAACACTCAAAATAACAAAGAAAAAATATGCAAGTGCAAATGTAAACATGATGAAGATGCACATAAATGAATCTACTACCTATAAAACAATGAAATGTATGCAATAATGAATTAATCATAATGATGAGCACAAGTATGCATCACAAATACCTAATCAGCTAGGTACACTAACCCTCTTCTCTTTAAGAGCAGTGTGAACTGTTTCAAGATTTTTATGATCACTCTTGTTCACCCAAATTTACCTAATGGAAGAATTAATCCTAGTCAACTGTGTCGTTAACTCGGTCAATTGACTCACCTGATTAGTAGGGAAGTCAATCCGGTTATCAAAATCCTATTTTTATTTCTATTAAAGTTCTAATTTCTATTTTTGTTCAGGAATTTATCACACATAGGCCTTATATGTCCTAACTCGCCACAATTGAAACAAGTAGGGATAAACCTAGGACCAAGATTATGTGGTCACTAATTTCTATTCCTAGGTTGGTAGGTCCTACGCTACCTACTAGGCCTCTGTCCTATGATTCTCCTATCCTGGGGTTTAGTGTTAGGAACATATTTATGCCGATCAGTGATAGGGATAAAAAGGGTCTTGGAAGTACTAATAGCATTGTGATCATTCTCCTTATGTCCTAGACCTCCATTATTACCAGCAACTCACTCATTCCTAAGATGCTATCAAAATTTATTGAACCACTAGAAAATGGAAAGAGTTGGGCGTTGGAATCCTCAAGATCGCTCATAAAGGTCTTAACCTTATTTTGTAAAGACTCATTCACAACGTTCAACTCATTAAGTCTCCTAGAGGAATTCTCAAGATCACTCATAAGATTCTTAACTAGAGTATCTAAGGATTCATTCATAGAGTTCAACTTACTTAGAGATAAGGTTAATTTCTGGAGGTTAACTATTAGTTTTCTGTTCTCTAGCTCAAGATCTTTGACCTTCATATGCAAGGCTTTATTGGTGGTCAACATCCTAAAGCTCTCTGATAAGAGGGTAAAATATAATATTTCTCCCTCTTAATTATTGCATTCATGTAATTATTTGATACCAAAATACACTCATTGTACTTATGTTTTGATTCAAGTTGCATTTTGGTATAAAAGATGGAAGATAGAAGAAAAGAGCAGAAAATGACCAAAATGGAAGAAAATGAAAGTTACGGGACTAAAGTGAAAATACTCCAAACTTGTGCCTAACCTTATAATGAAGATTCGAAAGTGTTATAGGTCAAACAAATGAGGAAAGAAGTCAAAGGGATGAAATATCGTTAAAGTATGATCACACATAAATTGCCGGTCGAAAAGGTCACGCATCGATTTTTAGCCTCATATTGGGACTTTTTTTGACATGTCATATGATTGAATTGGAAGATGACAAATGAAAAAAAAGTTTTAGCCTTTGAGTTAGCTTTCCAACGTGATTTGAATCACCTTAATCGGATATCGGGAGAGGAAATTATGTTCAAAATATTAAAAGTTGTACGGCAGAGAAAATTTTATACTATGCGTACGCATAGGCCTCTAGGCCTTGCATATGCGAGATTTCCAAAAATCCACTATTGAGGCCTAAACAAGTCTACTATGCAAACGCACCATTAGAACCATGCGTAAGCATGGTTCATTCTGGTACCCGATTCTTCAGCTTCTTAATTTGATAAAACCACTTATGGAAATGCGATTTTCACACGATTTTAAGCCCTAATTCGAGAGAGAACACCATTCTTCTCCTCTAAGCATAATTTTCTTTGATTTTTGGCTCAAGAACACTATGAGAAACTAAGGGATTTGGTGAAGCCATGAAGGAACTCGATCGGTATCAATGATTTTAACGTCCTTTTATGTATGTAATTCTAATTTTCATTGTTAAATGATTTTAAGGTCTAGATTTCCTATTTTCACGAGATTGTTTTGAGATTAATTCAATTCTTATTAGATTAGTTACGGATTAAGTCAATCTTTTTCTATTGATTAATTTAAATAATTATTGAATTTCAATTCCAAACATTATTGTGATATTGGTTTAACGTTTATTAGGTTTTGCATAGATTCAATCATATTTTATCTATTGTGGAATTAAATTATTCGTTGAATTTCAATTTCATGCAATCTTATTGGTGTGATTCTTTACGATTATATGCCCTATGTATATAATTGCTTTTGGATCTGATTTCAATAGATTAGAGTGGGAATGTGTTGTAGAAAATCTGAATTTTAGAATTACCACATAATTTAAATGGGCTTTAATGATATATTTTCTAATTAAAGTATTAGGACAAATATCTTTAATTGAGTACATGATTGCGCAATTTACGTTGATGGATCCTAACCAATTGAGGAAATTTCGGCGCTTCATTATCTCACACATTGATATTTATAATTCATTTAAATTCATAAATTATTTTTACACAAATCACGATGAAAACCCTAGCTTTTGATCTTTTGAGTAATTTTCCCATCTCCTTGTGGATACGACACCCCAAAACTGTACTACAACTACCGCGTTATACTTTGGGCGAATCAAATTTTGGCCTTGTTTTCGAGGAGGCGGTACAAATAATTAAAGGAGTTTCGAGCAAAAGAGCGACTTTCTTCCTCTTTTATCTTTTTTTGTTTGTTGTTTATTTTTAGTTATATTTTGTTATTTCTCACATTTTTGCATTTTTGTGCTTTATGAATAGGTATCGAGATGAGTGAGAGCGATTCATTGCAAGATCTCAACTAGAGTTTGAACCAGTTTCTAACCCTCTTTTCGATTCTACATCTGTAAACACGAGCATCACATTACACAACACAATAAGTGATAGTGAGCACGGCGATGTGCCCTATAGGACCCTACATGATTACCTTTACCCAACACACACTTCCACGCCATCTTGCATTATTTTCCACCAAATATGCCACGTATGGACTAAAATCGAGAATGATTCAACTTCTTCCCATTTTTTATGGACTTTAAAATAAAAATCCATACGTACATATTCGAGAATTTGAGGAAGTGGTTGCAACCATCCACAATCAACGTGGTGCAATGGATACAATTAGGCTTAAATTTTTCCCATTTTCACTCAAAGAACGTTGTATTCATTGAAACCACGTTCGATTGGAACTTGGGCTGAAATGACCCAAGCTTTCTTCGACAAATATTACCCCCATCATAAGACTACTGCCCTTAAGAAGCAATTTTTTCATTTGCCCAAAAGGATAGTGAAACCTTATACCAAGCTTGGGAGAGATACAAAAGGTTGCAAACCATTTGTCCCCACTATGGATATGAGAGTTGGCGTGTGGTGAGTTACTTTTATGAGGGCCTAACACCTAGGGAGCATCAATTTGTAGAAATGATATGTAATGGAGACTTTTGACAAAAAGACCCGGACGAAGCCATAGAGTATCTAAACAACGTAGCTGAAAAGGCTCATACTTAGACTGAATCTAATGCCTCCGATAGTACCAATAGGTCACGACCTCAGGGAAACTCTACTAGCACAAGCATTTATCACCTTAGGGAGGAAGACAACCTTAGAGCCAAGGTAGAAAGCCTCACTAGAGAATTAGAAGCCCTACATGCTAAGGATTCAAAACCTACACATGCTATTTCCCGTGTTGAGTCTGAAGGGTTTTGTTTTGTGTGTGGTGGCATGGATTATCTAGAACAAGAGTGTCCTACTTGCACTGAGATGAGGGGACTTTATGAGGAATACTATAATGCTTTAGGTATATATCAAAAGCCCTATACCCCTTACTCCAAGACTTATAACCCAAGGTGGCGGAATCATCCCAACTTTAGCTGGAAGTTAGAGAACCAACAACATGCCCAACAAACTCGAGCTTAGAATGCACCCCCACGTCAACCTATGTCCTCTAGGAATTCCTTAGAAGACACCCTACATGCATTCATCGAGGCACAAGGCAAAATAAATCAAAAACTTGAGACTATGATTACCCAAGTAGTCGAGGAAAACAAAAAGATAAAGAATCATATGTCTAAGTTATCCAATGTCTTGGCTGTAGGGGAACGTGGGAAGTTTCTGGCTCAAGCTCAACCAAACCCAAAAGGGTAGCACATGGCACAAACCTATGGATCCGAAGAGACCAATTTTAAGAAGGCGAATGCTATAACCAGTAGATCAGGGAATGTTGTAGAACCAACTCCTACACCTAGGGAGAATGAAAAAGAGCCAATTGAGCCTAATGAGATCAATCCTAGTGAGGAACTAGTGGAAAACATAGCTAGAATACCTTTCTCTTAATCTCTCAAGTCTACTTGGAAATCAACAGGTTAACATAATGAAATTCTAGAACACCTCAGACAAGTCAAAATCAATTTGCCTCTCTTACATGTGATTTTTCAAATTCCTACATATGCTAAAGTCCTTAAGGACTTATGCACTTTAAAAAAGAAACATCATATCAAAAAAATTGCTTTCTTGACCGAGAAAGTGAGTGCTGTGATAGAACAAAGGATCCCACAAAAGTATAAAGACCTTGGTTGTCCTATCATTTCTTATGTCATTGGGAACCGTAAGTTTGCACAAGCCCATCAAGATTTAAGAGCTAGTGTCAACCTCATGCCTTATGCTATATACTTGTTGTTAGGTCTAGAAGAAATGAAACCCACCTCAGTGGTTCTACAATTAGCTGGTCGGTCCACCATACAACCAAGGGGAGTAGTTGAGGATGTTTTAGTTCAGGTTGATAAATTTCACAACCCTATTGATTTCTTGGTATTAGATGTAAAGGTTGAAGTAGATGTTAACTCTAAAATCCCTATTATACTTGGTAGACCTTTCCTTCTTGCAGCTAACGCTCTTATCAATTATAGGAATGGTCTGATAAAGCTGACATTTGAAAATATGACTCTAGAAGTCAATATTTTCTATGTCACCCAACAACCTACGGAAGATGATGAATGCTATCAAACATACATGATCGATACATTCACTCAGGAGGAAGCATCCACAACAATTGATTCTGATCCTTTGAACTCTTTTCTCCTAAATTCTGAAATTTTATATGGTTTTAATGTTGATGAGTATGCTAACATTTGTGTAGTTTTTACAAAATTACAGGACCGTAGGACTTCAACATGGCAACCCAAGTTTGACGAATTGGCAAAAATGACTGGAGGACAGAAACCATCAAGCATTGAAAACCTCAGGCCAAAATTGAAACAACTTTCTATAGGACTAAAACATGTGTTTCTTGGACCAAGAGATATCTTTCCTGTTATTATATCGTCAGAATTGGATGCATTATAATGTAAGCAACTTTTAAGCATTCTGAACGAACACAAATCTGCATTAGTGTGGACCATAGCCGACATCAAAGGTATTAGTCCTCTAATTTGTTCCCATAGGATTTATCTAGAGGAAATGACTAATCCTAGGAGAGACCCACAACATAGGCTAAACCCTACAATAAAGGAAGTGGTAAAGAATGAGGTGCTTAAATTGCTAGATGCAGGAATCATTTACCCAATTGCAGATAGTAAATGGGTTAGTCCTACACAGGTGGTCCCCAAAAAGTCAGGTGTCAATATATGAAAAATGAAGTGCTTGAATTGGTCTCTACAAAAACGGTAACTGGTTGGCGTGCATGTGCATTGATTATAGGAAGTTAAATACTACCACTCAAAATGATCATTTTTCCCTTCTCTTTTTGGACCAAATACTTGAACGTGTGACTGGTCATCCTTTTTACTATTTTCTAGATGGCTATTCATGATACTATCAAATTGAGATTGCTCTAGAAGACCAGGAAAAAATCACATTCATGTGTCATTTTGGTACTTAAGCATTTCATAGGATGCCATTTGGACTTTGTAATGTCCCTACCACATTCCAAAGATGCATGATGAGTATGTTTAATGACATGATAGAGGATTGCATAGAAGTGTTTATGGATGACTTAACTATTTTTGGGACCTCCTTTGATATATGTTTGTTAAATTTGAAAAGAGTCTTGGCTAGATGTGAAGAAAAATGCTTAGTTTTGAATTGGATAAATTGTCATTTCATGGTGTCTTTCGGTATTGTCTTAGGTCATCTTATTTTTTCAAGAGGGATAAAAGTAGATAAGTCAAAAATTGAATTGATCTCTAAATTGCCTACACATAGGACTGTGAAAGACATTAGATCATTTCTCGGTCATACAGGTTTTTATAGGAGGTTTATACAAAATTTCTCATCCATATCTAGACCCCTATATAACTTGCTAAACAAAGATGTGACTTTTGAATGGACAACTGAAACCCAAAATGCATTTAAATTGTTGATTTGTAAACTTACCTCCGTACCCATAATGCAACCACCTGATTGGACATTGCCATTTGAAATTATGTGTGACGCTAGCGACTTTGCATTAGGTGTTGTTCTAGGACAACGAAAAGAAGGTAAGACTTTTGTGATTTACTACGCAAGTAGAACTCTAAATAGTGCTCAAATAAATCATTCCACTACTAAAAAAGAATTACTAGCAGTAATTTTTGCGCTTGATAAGTTTTAATCCTATTTGATTGGCTCTCCCATTACTATTTTCACATATCATGCAGCCTTTAAGCACTTTCTTGCAAAGAAGGATGCTAAGGCAAGACCAATACGTTCGATCTTACTTTTTTTTTTTGCAGGAATTTGACATCATTATCAAAGATAACAAGGGAATGGAAAATGTTGTAGCGGTCCATTTGTCAAGGCTAACCTTTGAAGACAACTAAAACACCTTGCCAATTAGAGATGAATTTTCTGATGAAAATTTATTTACTATCTCTTCTCTACCATGATTTGCTAATATTGTGAATTATTTGGCTGTAAGTGAAATCCCGAAAGAGTGGAGTGTACAGGATAAGAGAAAATTCTTGGTTGAGGTACGTAACTTTTATTGGGATGACCCTATTTATTTAAGTATTGTCCCGACCAAATATTGAGATGATATGTTCCTGATAAGGAGATACCCAGTGTACTAGATTTTTGCCATACCCAAGCTTGTGGGGGCCACTTTTCTATGAAAAAAACTGCTGCAAAAATTTTGCAGTGTGATTTTTATTGGCCCACCTTGTTTAAAGACACTGTTGCCTATTTTAAATCTTGTGAGATGTGTCAAAAACTAGGTACTATTTCCTGCCATAATATGATGCCTTTAAATCCCATTTTGGTAGTTGAAGTGTTTGATTGTTGAGGCATTGACTTTATGTGACCCTTTCCACCCTCTTTTGGCTATTTATACATCATTGTGGCTATAGACTACGTGTCTAAGTGGGTAGAGGCGGTTGCTTGTAAAGCCAATGACAATAAAACGGTTGTTAAATTCCTTAAAGAAAATGTTTTGTCTCAATTCGGTACACCACGTGTTATCATTAGTTATAGAGACACACACTTTTGTAACCGTTCATTTGAGGCACTAATGAAAAAGTATGGGATGATTCATAAAATTTCCACTTCTTATCACCCCCACAAACTAGTAGACAAGTAGAATTGACTAATAGGGAAATTAAACAAAGTTTGAAAAAGACGATGAACTCTATTCATAAGGATTGGTCGTTGAGACTGAATGATGTACTTTGGGCTTACCGTACAGCTTTTAAGACTTCCCTAGACATGTCACCTTATAGACTAATCTTTGGAAAGCTTTGCCATTTAACTGTCGAACTTGAGCACTGAGCCTTTTGGGCCATTAAACACTTCGACTTTGATCTAGAAAAGGGAGGTAAACATAGGAAATTTCAATTGAGTGAGTTAGAGAAGTTAAGAAATGATGTCTATGAAAGTTCTAGAATATCAAGTCAAAATAGAAAGCATTTCACGATAAAAACATTTTGAGAAAAACTTTGAACCAAACCAGAAAGTGTACTTGTGTGATTTTAGACTTTACAAGCACCCGGGGAAACTCCGCTTTAGGTGGATTGTTCCATATGTGGTAACACAGGCTTCTGAAAATGGGATGGTTGAAATTGAGGACCCTAATGATGGTAGGGTTTTCAAATTGAATGGACAGAGACAAGTGCCTGCATTGGAAGAAATTTCTTTTGCAAACCTAGTTTACCACTCATGACACCCTTCAGGTACATTCCTCACTTTGTGTTTCTGTATTTTAGTTTCAGATTTTTTTAGTTTTTTTTGCAATTTTTTCAGTTTATTTTCATTTTCTGCATCACCCTCTCCATTGGAGACTTTCAGGCTTCCTATACTTTAGCTCATGTGATTCACTTTGGCACTTAAGTGACACCTTTTCTTACCTTTATTTAGCAGACATGTTTTTGCATTGAGGACAATGCAATGTTTAGTTGGGGGAGTTTAACTTAAATTTTGTTGTGAATTGCATGATTTACATGAAATTTCGGTCTAAACTTTTTTTAAGTCCCTAATTAGCTATATGTTTATATTCTTGAATGACCAAATATGCCACTAGGAGTTGATATCGTTCATGTGAGTCTAGATGTTGAGACATTTGTTGAATCATTTTGTGCACACAAGTTTTGTGGTAAGATAGTGGTTTAACACATATAGCTAGGAAGTTTCTTGTTGAAGTTTTATTGTAAGAGTTAGTGAGGATCGAGAGCCACCTTGCACTAAAATAGCGATGAGCATTCATTGATTTTGTGAATTGAAAACTCTTTTGAGAATATATGGTTTGTGGTAAGATGGTAAGTCATTTGAGAAATGATGAAGGTCAATCTAGGATTAACATATAAACCTTTCAATCTAGGAGTTGATACTGTTCATGTGAGTCTAGATGTTGAGACGTTTGCTGAATTATTTTGTGCACACAAGCATTGTGATAAGATAGTTGTTTAACCCATAAAGTTAGAGGAGTTTCTTGTTGAAGTTTTCTTGTGAGAGTTAGTGAGGATCGAGAGCCACCCTACACTAAAATAGCAATGAGCATTCATTGATTTGGTGAATTGGAAACTCTTTTGAGAATATATGGTTTGTGATAAGATGGTAAGTTACTTGGGAAATGATGAAGGTCAATCTAGGATTAACATATAAGCCCTTCAAACCTTTTTTTTTTTTTTCAATAATTACAACCCCTAGTAGCCATGTTGAGCCATACACACATGTATTGCATTTTCTTCATATACCCATGTTATAAATACTTCTCCACATTGGAGTATGGTCTATCCATGTATTTACCCAACTTTTTACTTGTAAACGTGTAGTAAGTATTGAATGCTTATTTGTGAAAAATAGAAGCAAGAAAATGACAAAAGTTAGTATGTGCTCAAGCAAAACACCCCTAAACCAAAAAAAAAAAAAAAGGACGAAACAAAAGAGATAAAAAAAAATCAGAAAATTTGGTCGAGCAAAACACCCCCCAAAAAAAAGAGATTTTGGGGTTGAAATATTGAAGAGTGTATTAATAGAAAGATGTAATCTATCAAGATGCTTGATAAGATGCCTAGCTACATGCTTGGGAGTCCTTGAATCTTTATATCCTCATTTTCATACAGCCTAACCCAAACCACATTACAACCCTTTATATTGACTATTTTGATTCGAAGTATGATTGTGGTAAGAAAGTGATGAATCATCATTTGACAATATGCCTATCATAAGATGAATGTTCGCTTGTTGCTCATTCAGAGAAATTTAAGCCTACAAGTTATGAGTGTATACCCTTTCTCAGCTCCATAGAGAGAAAATCGCGCTAAATACTTTGATACCCACGAGTTATGGAGCTGAACCTTCAGCTCGAGACATGCTCGATGTTGCATGTGTTAGGGTTGGCGGTAAGATGGCTGTGGCTTGACACACACTCACACATTTAGCAAGTGTTTTTTGATATCTTGATGATCATGGCATTGTTAAGTTCTTGTGGTGTTGAGTTTGAAAAGAGCATGAATTGCAATTAAGTTGGAACTTAATAATTTCATTTATATTATAGTCTAATCGTTCGTTTGTTTGTTCTCCATTGAATTGCTAGAGACTAGTAATAAATAAGTTGGGGGTGTGATAAGAGTATAAAACATAATATTTCTTCCTCTTAACTATTGCATTCATGTGATTATTTGATTCAAAAATGCACTCATTATATTTATGTTTTGATTCAGGTTGCATTTTGGTATAAAAGATGGAAGCTAGAAGAAAAGAGCAGAAAAGGACCAAAATGGAATAAAATGAAAGTTTGGGACTAAAGTGCAAATACTCCAAACTTGTGCCTAACCTTATGATGAAGATTTGAAAGTGTTAGAAGTCAAGCAGATGAGGAAAGAGGTCAAAGGGATGAAATATCGTCAAAGTATGATCACACATAAATTTCCAAT